GCGGCTGATGGTGTGTGGTTGTTTAAAGGCACTAATGCACGGGTGCTGCACCAGTGTGGGCTCTGTGCCGCAGACGGGGGCTGCGTGCCGAGCTGCCGGGGAGGGCAGGGCAGGACGCGGTGCTGCTCTCCTGCCTGTGCCCGCTCCCTGCAAACCCCGCGCTGGTTGGGTTTTCTGTGAGTGCTGCAGGGTGGTTTTGTGTCTCTTGCTCTTGAGCAGCTGTCTCAGCCACTGCTAATGGGCTGTAATGCACACAGAGCTGACCCCGAAATGAAGTCTTCACCGAAATCTGCTGTCTGGAGCTTCTGCTGTAAGAGCTCAGAAGCGCCAGGCTGGGGAGTTATCATCATCTGCAGAGCGTGCGTGAGGGGTGCGGGGAGCTCCCCTCCCCTGAGCCTTCACACTTGTCTTGTCTTTCCAAATCGGAGATCCCCTGGGACCAAGGGATCGCTTCCCCCTCAGCTGCCTGCTCAGCACCCCCTGCCCTCCACCGCTGTCCCCACAGCCTCATCTGGCACAGCCTGGTGGGGCCTCTGCGAGCAGAAACCGGGGAGACATCGGCATCTCGGCTGTGCCTCTGCGTCGGACTCGCTCCACGCTGCTGGCGCTCAGTGTCCCTGAAGTGACAGCTTTGTTTGTGCCACCGGCATCGAGAGGATGAGCCAGGCATGGGTGAAACGGCGGCTGCCCTTGTTCCCTTGCAGGAAATGCAGGCGCTGTAAATCACTTCTCTCCGGGGCTGGGTGTCTGCGGGGCAGCGCAGCTGTCGGGGTGATGGACGCAGCCGTGACAGCGTTCGGGCGCTGTCAGCACCCCTGGAGCGCGCAGCAAACGCAGTCCTTGCTTGTCTGGGTGCTCTTGGTGGTTCCAGAACAGGGACCCTGCTGCATTGAGGGACTCTGTGCAAAGACTTGGGGCTGGGGGCAGTGGGTGCAGAGGGGGGATGTGGCGTTGGGGCTGACGGCAGTGGTGAGCACTGGGGCACCGCAGGCTGAGGTGCCTTGTGTGAACTCACTCATGGCCAGCTGGGACGCGCTGGGCAGACACGGGACACACGGCTTCTGCTGGCGTGCAGAGGTGGTGCCTCCTTAGCCCGTGTCGGTGGCACCGTGGACACTTCGGTAGCCGGTTCACAGGAGCGGCACAGACCAGGGTGACTCGTCACTGCAGCCCCTGCTGAAATCGCATTGGCACGAGCGCTCGGAGCAGGAAATACGTGGCTTGCATCTTAATTAGCGCTTGCCCTCCAAACACAACCGCGTCTTTAGAACCTGGGTACCGGAGCCGGTTCAGCTCGTCCAGCGATGACTCAAAGGCGGCTCCAGACCAG